TTATTGGGAAGCTCGCTCCGGACGCGAATCTGAACAGTATCACCTGGAAAGGCTCGCAAGATTGGTGCAAGGGAGCTTTTAACACCCTGATGAAAAAGAGCCGCCTTGCCCGAAACAGCACCCTTGTGGAACGGTGTGAGACACGATGTTGAGCGAATCAGATCTTTATATTAAATCCTTTAAGAATCGAACGCCAGCGTTTGTAAACAAGCCACACATTAGGCAATAATTACCAAAGCTGGTAACGTCTACCGTATAGGACCCAATTATTCCGTAAGGTTTCAAGGGGGTCTGCACATACCTGTTCTAGCCAAGGTGCCACAGTCAAGTCAACCCTTAGAAAACCGTCAGCAGATGTCACATCTTGGAATGGTTCTTTGTCTAGCGTCGAAGGCTTTGCAGAGAGCAAAGTTGTTGTCTTTGTATCCTGCATACCCCAAGCATGATTTAAAGACACTTCCAATAGAAGGAAGGTTACAATTGCACGATATGCCATCTATGTAAGTTTACGGTCGAGCCACTTTTATATGTCCCTGCTTCGACGCGCACGATGTGCTTCCTCGGATCAGAGCCTGTAAATCAGGTCAAGAAAGTGGATGTTACCCAATTCGTTGACACAGTCGGTCAAGTTAGGGACGGCGAAGATGTAGGACAAAATGTCTGTACAATCTTTCGTTTACTTGAAGAATACCGCCTTACGCGCCTTCCATGAGGGAAGACAACCATAAATGCATAACGAACCGACACGTCGCGGGGGGGACGAAACGGCTGGAAGCAGAGCAACGACAACTTGAGTTTTTGAACTCGGAAATTCCGCGAAGCTCCGAGGTCTGAAGGGAAAAGGTGCTTGTTCCCCACGCCCGTGTTGACCGCCCCTCTTTTCAAATCTTCACGCAGCAAAATGCTAAGCTTTCTAATAGGCATAAGACCGTATATGAGCAGAAGGGACTTCACGGTCATCGCCTTCACCTTTGCATGTGTGACTGTTTTGCTCGATTCTCATGAGCTCCAAAGCGCAACAGAGGCATCGAGGGCCAAACTCAACATTGCCCAACAAGTGGACCATGATACACCACCAAATATTATATATATACTTGCAGATGATCTCGGCTGGAACGATGGTAAGTCTATACCCGGAAAGAACCTTCCGTAGGGCATGCAGATGTCCACTTCACCCACTCCTTCAACTTCCCCTTCCCCCCTCACTATTCTCATATCTCGGTGCCTCCAGTCGGATGGATGAACCGCAATAACGAAAATGTCATCAAAACACCCAATTTGGATCACTTATGCCGTGAGGGTGTGAATCTAAAGTCCTTCTACACCCAAAGCGTTTGCACGCCGACCCGAGCTGCGTTGTTAACAGGAAAATATACAATTCATCTGGGCCTCCAGCACTCGATTATTCAAAGCGGTCACCCTTCTGGACTCGGTACAGAACATGAGACTCTTGCCGAGGCGCTTAAAAAGCGGGGCTATGCTACTCATATGGTGGGAAAGTGGCACCTGGGTTATTATTTGAAGAAATTCCAGCCCTTGCAACGGGGTTTTGACACATTCAAAGGCATGTTGACCGGAGCCGAGTACTATTTTTCCCACGTTGCTCGGTGTGAATTTCCCTTTTATGATTTCAAAGGGTCCACATCTGGCTGGGGTCTAGATTGGTTTGACCAAGAAACGCCGGTATTTGAGGACCAGGGACTGTATTCCACGGATGTTATGACGCAACGTGCGGTAGAGATCATTTCATCTCACGGCTTGAACAAAAGCAATCAGCCTTTGTTCCTTTATCTGTCGTATCAAGCTGTCCACGGTCGTCTTCAGGCGCCACAAGGGGACATTGATCGATTTGCGCATGTAGCAGACGAAGAGAGACGAACTTACGCGGCCATGGTGTGGAAGCTCGACGAGGGGGTGGGCAACGTTACACGCGCCTTACGAGAGGCAGGGCTTTACGAAAACTCAGTGACGGTCTTCACTACTGACAATGGGGGTCACCCAGCCTTTGGTGGCAACAACTGGCCGTTGCGCGGGCAGAAGGGAACATATTGGGAAGGAGGGATAAGGGGGACGGCTTTTGTGCATTCACCTCTCTTAGAAGAGAAGGGGGTGGAGCGTTTCAACCTCATGCACGTTGTTGACTGGTTCCCCACATTGCTGGGACTGGTAGACAGAGCACATGAAAAACAAGAAAAGCCGAGTGGGTTTGCCCCAAGCGTCGGCAACAGCTCTGGCAGCCCCTGCCTCGGTGGAGATCGGAACTCGAGCGTTGATGGCATTGACCAGTGGGCGGCAATCTCAAGGGGAGCCTTGCCGCCGCGGTATGAGCTCCTACACACCATTGATCCCATGGGCATGGACTCGGGCGACCCGTTAACAGGGACGAAGCAAGCGGCTATCCGACGGGGTCCTTGGAAGCTGCTTCTAGGCGCACCCGGCCAAAATGTCAATCAAGATAAATGGATACCGCCACCGGACTGGTCGGGGCAGGGTCAGGAAGATGTGCTTGCGAAAATATATGGAGGAAAATGCGAAATTTGCCGTTTCACTCAGGAGAACATAACCACCGGCGTGTGCCTATTCAACATTGAAAAAGATCCTCAGGAACGATGCAATCTCGCTTCTACCGAGTTGGCAGTGGTGGCAGATTTGTTGGCCCGCCTAGAGGCTTATAACGCCACAGCAGTTCCTGTTCAATACCCTGGCCCCGATGACAGGTGTGATCCTGCACAGCTCGGTCATTTTTTTGGGGCATGGGGAGAAGAAAATTGAGCCTAAAACAATGGCTTACATAGAAAACACAGAAAGTGTGGTGCATGGTCCACTTGCAATGCTGTCGCAATTGACATTAAAAGAAGTGGCTTGCCCCTAGGTGTAACATTTCGGATATAAATTTATTTCAATTACAAGTTTACTTTTGGCGCCGATGCCGCTTTTTCTTGTCTTTTTTGCTGCTATGGCTGCGTCTCCTCTTTTTGCTGTGCTTCTTACGGTCCTTGGACCTCACTTTCGCCTTCGAATCCTGCCGGCTTCTTCTGGCCCGTCTCTCCCGGCCATCCATCGTGCTCCCAGCGCTGCTGCTACTGAGGCCGACGCTGTCGTCACTGCTTTCGTCGCTGTCATCACTGCCATTCCTCCTGTCACTTTCGTAACTTGCAGGGCTCAGCTTTGGATCATCCCACCGGCTTTTTCCTCTTCCGCGCTCATCACTTGGTCCTTCGACCAACCCAACCGCACTCGTCTGGAGGTCCCCAGACCGTGAGGTAGGCAGCACACATTTTTGTGCCTGCTGTGACGGATGTGTTTCCAGTGGTAGTGCGGCGTTATTTGCTTCGCTTTTATTCCCAGCCGCACCTTTTTGTGATTTCAGCTTTGGCTTCTTCAACACCCCTGAACCGAACACTAAACCTTCCTCTTCCTCTTCCTCGTCGCCGCCATCCACCGTTTCGTCCTCCTTGAGCGCCTTCCTCTTCTTACTCAGCAGCATGGGCCCTTTGGCAAGGAGATCCTCCATCGCCTCCAACCCCGCCACCTGGGCAGGTTGTAAGAAGTGGTCTCGTGCTGTAGATGAATGAGAATTGGTGCTGGCATCGCCCGCCGTCGAAGCGTTAAGCGCATCTCCTGTCTGAGCACCAAGTATCCCTTCTGACGCCTGCCCTTGCATCTTTTCCCCCTCCTCCTTTCTCTCCTCTTCCGGTTCTTCCTCCTCCTCACTCTCCTCCTCGCTCTCCGAGGACGATGGCGCCTCAAATATAGCCTTGAACAAGTCTTTACTGGGTCGAGGTTTCTGTTCGAAGGCTGGCAAGCTTCCTCCTCCGCTTCCTTCCTCCTCTATCTCGCCCTCCGCCAACTTATCCTCTAGCATGACGTCAGGCACGACCAAGTTTTCCCCAGGCAAGAGCGCCTCCATTTCCCGGTCGAACTTATTGCTCAACAGGGAGACGGGTCCCGCCTTCCCCTTCCCTGGATCCAACGGCACAGGTGGTGGCTTCAGCGCTTCCGCTCTCCCGCCTCCAAAGGCCCGAGGCAGGGCGTAAGCCGGTCGCGCGGACGGGGGCTGTCCACCTAGACTGATGGCCGGAGTCAGCCTGGCATGCCCCGGCACTGACACGTTGAAGCGCTTGCAAAGCAGGGAGACGGGCTGGAAGAGGACCTGGCTGCGGGCGGGCGCTGGGATTGTTTTCACCTTGGGCAGAGCGGGGCCAGCAAGCGCGACAGAGGGGGCGATACCTCCTGCACCCTTCCCTCCCTCCGTCAACCCCTCCGGTAGAGTCGGCCCGGTAGTCGCGGGCTTCTCAGCCACACTAAACCGCTTGGCCAGAGCCCCTTGCATGCCCTGGAAAGCGGAGGGCAGAGGGGGAAACGAGGCCGACGGGGATTCCGCCGCCTCTGAGGCCGCTGCGTGCGCCAGGGCCGGCGCGCCTTGGGTCTTGAACGTCTCGATCCGCGCCCGGTCTGCCTCTGACATGAGGTCGAAAATGGAGGAAGTCCCGGCGGCCGCTTGGACTGGGGCCTCTCCCAGCAAGCCGCCCCGGGTCTCGGCCCGCAGCCGTCCTTGGTTGGCATCGCGGTGACGCCTGACTGTGCCGGCGTGGTCCTCTCCCCGCCCCTCCACCCCTCCCTGCTCGGTCTCGAAGCTGTGATAAGGGACGAATCCGCGAGGGGGCGTGGGCAGGGGCCAGGCGGGGGGCTGATATCCCAAGTCCTTCACGCCCAAGACAAAACCTTCCAGCACCGGTCGCGAGTCAGTGGGACATCGGAGCCCCACGGCCCCCGGAATCTCCGCACCTCTTCCGCGCCCCCCCCCCCCCGAGATCCAAGCCTCCAGCGCCACCCGCTTCGCTGCCCCGGCCATCAGGGTAGAGGCCTGGCCCGAGCGACTCTCTTCCTCTTCGTCGTCAGGCTCGCCCAAGGTGCTCAAATACAAGCTCTCCCTCCCTCCTTCCTTTCCCGTCGCCCCTCCCTCTCTTCCTCCCCTCTCGCCCTGCCCCGCCCTCTCCGTCACCTGGTCGTACACGTCATCCTCATCTTCGTCCAAGGCGAAACCCGAAGCGTTCCTCCGTCCCGCCCTAGACGACGTATCCTTTCCCAATACATCTCCCATCCGGTAAACCCCTCGACTGTCGTCTTCCCCGCCCCAGTCATTCGGGCCCTGCCTCCGGAAGGCCGCCAACTCCGGAGCATCTTTCTCGGGATCGAACCCTAGCCCATGGCGGTCATTCTTAGGCCTGGGGAGGAGCGTCAAGCCTAGCGTGGGCCGGGCAAATGTGATTTTCCCCTGCTGAACGAGGGTGGAATCGTCTCGCAAATGCTCGGGCAAGAAGGCCACGTCGTCGTCCACCGCCTCCTCCACCCCTGCCTCCCCTTCCCCCGAGTCCTTGCCTCGCTTCTTCCGGGGCCGCCGCTGTCGTGAGCCCACTCCCACTCCCTCCTTCCATCCCATCATCTGAAGTAATTTCTTCCCAATCGCCACCTCTGTCGGGACGAGCAGTTCATCGACCATACCCAGGCCCGGAATGCTGCTCCCGACCGCCTCTTTTTCTACCTCCTTCCGCAAGAGCTGCTTGGACGATACTCCCAACGTATCGTATGGCAACTGTGTATGCAAATCCCGTCCCAACAAGCCATCTTCTTCGTCCATGAAGTCTTCGGGACGCTGCCTGGAGGGGCGGCTTGACGCACGGTTGTCCCGAGAGGACTTGAACGTAGATGGTTGCCATCCCTCCTGACTGCCTACGCTGTTGTAATAGCCTGCAGAGAAACCCCCAGTAAAAGCCCCGTGGAATCTACGTCTCCCTTCCTCGTCGCGAACTTCGTCTTTTTGAGTTTTGCCCCGGTAGGCACTCATTTCTGGATTGAGAAGAGGAATGCAGTTCTTCGGAGGAAGAGAGGCATAGGAAAACGACCAACGAGAGTTGTTAAGCCTGTGCCTGTTGAAAGCTGATAGACAGAGGAAGTTAGAAGATAAGGTAACTAGTGAGCTGGGTTTGACAACTACATTTTGGTTTTGCGATGCTTGTGCTTTTTAGGTAATGAGAGGGACGCGTGTACGGCGAGAGCAGGTCTTCCAGTTGCCTGCGGCAAAACTACTAGTAGACGGTAAAGCACATCATTTCATCCTTTTGCTCAATGCCGATGCTTGCGGGACATCACTTTTCTTTTCCCTTTTGTACCGAACCAAAAAATTCTTCTTCGACGTTGTACCGTAAAGCATAATGCCATCGTGGCGTGCTTCTTTCTTTCACAGGGGCAATAACCTCCCCACCCTCTCCTGCTTTGCTGTTGTTAATTCTTTTACAGGAATACTTGCACACCGCAAATTGATATTATAACATCCATGATAGTCTGATAGTCTTTTGTTTCTACATTGTTCAAGGTATGCCTGTGAGAAATCGCTCCGCGGCGTCCATTACAGCAATTGCCGTGCTTGCTCTAGTAGGAGCTCTGTACCTTCGTCGTCAGGCACTCAAAAAGAAAAAACAAGAAGCGGAGAACGCGTCAGAAGACAAATCCCACGCCACGCCACATTATCAAATCTCGATTCTTGGGGATACCTTTTGCGATGTCGTGGTTCAAGGCATCAAAAATTTGCCCGAATGGGGAACAGACGCTCTGACCGACGCCCCAATAGAACTGACTCCGGGGGGCTCTGCCTGCAACTCCGCGCTGCAACTCGCCAGCTTGCTGCGCTTATTTCCTCTAGAATCCTATATTACACCCCAGGTGGTGTTGCACACAGCTTTAGGAGACGACTCATTTGGATCCTTCTTGAGGGAAAAAATTAAGGCCGCGGTGCAAGGCCAATATGTACGGATTTCCACCTCCTCATCCCTCGAAGAAGCTTCCAGGAAAGAGTCGTCTGGATCCATGCCCAACAAAGAAACCGCAAATGCAACAACGGGTGTGTGTATTTGCCTCTCCGGGTCTGAGGACCGTGCGTTCATTACCCATCGGGGAGTCGTCGCCACCTTCAGTGGCGATCAACTCGACGTCTCCACCATCTACAGGAGCCAATTCATACACATTGCCGGCTACTACAACTGTCCATCGCTCTGGCGTATTCTGCCAGGGCTGCTACGTGATTGTCAGTCACGAGGCATTTTTACAAGCCTCAGCCCGCAGTGCGACGCGTCGGGCAAGTGGGAGGGTGGCCTCCATGACACGTTACCCCACCTGGATTTATTTGTGCCCAACGAGATGGAGGCTTTGGCAATCTCCAGACAAAATGGGATTGTGGACGCATGTCGCTACTTTGTAGAGAGTGGGGTGAAACATGTAATCGTCACGTTGGGGGCGGAGGGAGCTTTCGCATCTGTGAAGGAAGGGGAGAGGCGCCGCGAAATGAGGCAGACATGTCCGCTCAAAGAAATTGTAGATACCACAGGCGCAGGGGACGCTTTTAATGCAGGAGTCTTGTACAGCCTTTTGACGGATTTGGTGGGAAAAAACGCGGCCCCGGGGAACGGGACAACGGAGTCGTGGGAATGGGGACAGGCCTTGCGGATGGGATGCGCCATGGGCGGCCACAATGTGACCAAAGCGGGCGCGTCGGCGCCTCCGCGGGATCAACTGGAAATAATTGACAATTTGAAGGAAATTAGGTGTGATGTATAGTTTTTCCACGCGGCGGACTTCATCATTGGTAATAAAAATCGAAGTCATCTAGAGCAAGCGTCCCGACAATGTCAGACTGAGGTCTGTCTCGGATAATTCGGGCCAAGCGTAGTGCGTGCACGAGCGAGGGCTGACACTTTTTTTTGTGAGAAGTTTATGCCTTTCCTCTTTTTTTTACTGAACATACACAAACCTCCAAGCACACGCACACGCCAGAGAGTGCCAGGCGCAGCCCTTCCACGACCGCTTGGCTCCCTCCCCATGCCGATCCCAGGCGCGCGGTCCGTCGTATCCCCGGCCTTCCCTTTCCGACGTCGTCTAGCAATCTAAGCCCAGACCCGCCTCCTCCACGACGGGGATCGAGTGCCTCTTGTCCATGGCGGCGTTGGCCAAGGCGTCTGCCACTGTGTTTTCGGCCCGGGGGACGTGCTGGAAGGTGAGCGCGCGAAAACGGCGCGCCAAGGCTTTGACCTGCGCGTGGAGGCGCATGATTGCTTTGTTCTTCACCTTCCACACGCCTTCCATCTGCCGGATCACCAGCAGTGAGTCCCCTCGGGCGTGGAGGGTCCTGACCCCCCTACGGGCCGCCTCCTCCAAGCCGTGATAAAGCGCCAAATATTCCGCTTGGTTGTTGGTTTTATCGGAGCCCAGGAACACGGAAAGAGTCCACAATTGCTTGTTGTCGCAGTCGAACATGACTGCACCGCCGCCGGAGACGCCCGGATTGCCCCGAGCCCCACCATCGAAAAACAAAACTCCCGCATCGACGAAGCGCGGCCACCTCTGGAGGAGAGCAGTCGCGGAAACGTCTTCGCTAGGAATGTTGGGAGATGTATCATTGGGGGAAAGAATGATGGCGGGTATTGGCTCTGTCACTCGGGAGCTTTCATCGTCGAAGTCATCATCTTCATTTTCCTGGTCGCCACGGCCCTCTCCGGCTAGCTCATTCATGCCAACTGTACAAATAGAACCGCCTCCTATTCTGGATCCCAGGCGGCCTGTCAATGGAGCGTCACCGCATTCCTGGGCAAAAGCGTCTTGTTCCTGGCTTACGTCCTGTGCATGTTCCTCTTTCGTCCTCTTCCGTTTCCTTCGTTCCTCATTGGCTGCACAACGAGCGCCTCCTGTCCCGCACACATGATTATCCATGTCAGTGTGCGGAGTGGACGATCTTTCCATATATTCTTTTCGTGTTTCTGCCCCACTATTTGCACATAAGCCTTCGATATTTTGCTCCCGCTCTTCATCAATCCCCTCTTGAAGCATCCCACAATCCTTGAGATCCTGCTCTGAAAAAATCTGCAAACCATGGCTTTCCCTGCTGCTCTTCTTTCCTGTGTATTGTTGTGATTCAAGGCCATCTTCCACAAACGCCCTGGCCTCATCTAATGACGAGAAAGACTTGAAGGTAGCGTTTCCTGCCCCGTTCACCACTGCGTGGCATTCGGACCAGGAGGTAAAAATGGCGCGCATGGGCACCTTCACGGCATAATACTTTGTCTTCATTGACTTTATGGGGCTTGCATGCAGCTGATTGTCGTAAGAATGTTTCCTACGAAGAAAATAGTAGCGATTGTGGGTCGGGAAGTGAGTGAGAACGGAGTCGCGAACAAACGGAACCATGCATGGGCCCAGAAGTATTCCAAGCGGGGACTTCTGTTAATCTGTCCATGGAGACCAGGTGAAAATTTCTGGAAATTCTCAGCCCGTGACTACTCGTACTGTACAAGTTTTGCTTCTTTGGCTAGACGCTCTTGTCCTCTTCCATACCTTTCCGGGCTTTTGCGGTTTACGTGGCTATTAACCATCTTGTGCCTGTCAACCTCCTACCCCCGTCCGTCTGCTTTCCTTCTCTCCACATTACTTCCACTCACACGACTAGCACCGGTAGCTGCAAGCCCTCGATTTCAAAAGTCCATTCGCCTCGCACACGGTGGAACATCCCCGCAGTATCTGCCAAGCTGATATCCGCCTCTGTCACCTGCACAATAGCAACGGCTTCTTGCTGAGCAGCAAGCGAAATGCTACCGAAGGCACGCAACGAGCGTCGCGGTGCGTCTAAACCAACGCCGTAGGGCGGCCTCAAAAATCCTATGAGGGTGGCACGCCCTACCCGAGAGCCGGTGTTTTTAACCCGTACGCAAATCCGGCTCATTACCCTCGAATCGTGGGGCCTAGCGTTCGTCAAATAGATTGCAGCCTCTCTCCCACCAGTCCCTCGGTTTCCGACCACATCGTAACCTGCATAGTGTGGTCTGTCTCTCTCTCCTTCCGGACACGCAATGGCTTCGATCTCGAACGATGTATAGCTCAGGCCGTGCCCAAAGGGAAAAACAGTCGGGCCATCGTAAAACCGATACGTGCGACCAGGGAAGCCGTCGCTATGGTCAGGTCGCATCCGCATGTCCCCTGCATCAGCCTGCGTCACAAACGATGCTGGGTAAAAGGTTTGTGTGAGGCGTCCGCTGGGGTTCACGTCTCCAAACAGGATTTCTGCGAGCGCCTGCCCGCCTGCCTGGCCTGTGGACGAGCGGAAGGAGGATTGAGACATCTCGTGAGAAATATAGCGGCGGAGTCTACCACTTGCGGGCCTTCGCGTTAAGGCTGGGGTCACCAGCGCATGAAATGCGCCCCTCTGACGAATCATAGACATGACCTGAGTCCTTCTATGTCCCGGACACTTCGGACTCTCCCACCTCGCACCCCTCCCTCGCATGCTTCGCACCGAGTGAGGTTCCTACCTGGGTAGCCCGCAAAGAGCATGGCGGCGACACGGTCGTCCCGCGCCAAGAAGTCCACGTCGACTGCCCCTCCGCCCACGAGCACCACCACCACCGGGCGGCCCATGGCGGCGTCCAGGACCCGACCTGCCAACTCGACTTGGGGCGCGGGGAGCTCAAGGCTGGTCCGATCCTTCCCTTCGTCCTCGATGGACACGTCCAAGCCCAGGATCAGCACCGTCACATGGGCCGATGAAACCGCGGATTCAGCATCCGCGAACGCCTGTTCCGAGGAGCTGTTGATGCCACAGCCTGGCGCGAAGAGAGCGTCGGGGACATAGGCACGGATTCCCTCGATCGGGCTGACAATGTAGGGTGGAATACCTCGGTAGTTGCCCAGCAGGGCCTGGGTGCCGTTGGCGTGGGGCCCAACCACCGCCATGAGGGAAACGCTTTCACGCGCGGGCAACGGCCCCTCGGGTGGGGCCTCGACACGTCGATGATGGCGGAGAAAGGTGCTTGTCCACGCGTCCGCCCCC